AGGTTTTGCATCTTCCAAATGCTTGGAAAAACTCCTTCCTGTATGCAGGTCCCGAATGTCGATGCAAAGACCTTTGGGTTGCATTTAAGTGCTGTTTTTAGAGCTATATCTGGTATACCATCTATCCCGGGTGCTTTATGGCTGGATTATTTTCCGCCCGCTTTGAATATTTCTTCGTATGTAATTGCTGGAATACTAGCGGCAGGTATGGGAGCTATATTTATCTCTACCAACTCGTGGGTGGGAAATAAGGTATCTACAATGCTTCTTAGAAGTTTTAAGCTTTTTAGTTGAGCATGGCGTTTTAATTTTTTTTAGAACCAACTTGTAAGCTAGTCCCCAGGGGTTGTTGTCTACGTTGGTACATAAGTCTGAAAATGCCTTGCGCTTGCTGTCGCGTATAGCATTTTTTAGCTCTTTGCGTCTTGATTTATATGTTTCCCTATGACTCGTGAAGTTACTTGAGTTACGAGCACGTTGACATAGCCGCCTCACATGATTGCATTGAGCTCGTATCATGGATATGTTACTATTCCACCAGTACACAGACTTGAGCATCTGGTTGCCGCATTTCCTTCGAACCATAGAGGCGTCGCATGCGTTGGTGATTAACTTCATAAGTTTTTTAGATCTTACGTCCGCTGAACCTGAGAAGTCAGTGCCAGTAAAGATTTTCTCAAACAGTTTCTCGTCAAAAGTGTTAACCTTCCACCCTTTTCTACCATCTGGTTCGGAGTGTTTGAATTGCGGGTCATCAAAAATGATGGTTATAGCGCGGTGATCACTTTGCGTGTAGCATTCGTTTGTACTCTAACTGGTTCGACTACTAACACACATGCTAATAAAGGCTACATCAATTACAGAGCCGACACCATTCTTACTAAACGTGTGCGTTGTACCGGTGTTTAGTAAGACTACGTTGAGCGCCGAAAGAGCGTCCAGTATTGCTTTCCCTTTTGGGTTATTTGCTCTGCAACCCCACTCAACAACCCATGCGTTGAAATCGCCCGCTACTAGGACTGGACTTCTGTTCCTGGCGTCTTTGACAAGTGTATCAGTGATCCTATTAAATTTTTCAAGGTCGTAGCTTGGTGGAATATAGCGGCTATAAATAAATATGCCATTAATTTCCGTACATACAAATCCATCGGAGTCTGCAATCATATTTATGGGGCTCGCATTCGCATTGCAATACCAAATAGCACTATTAATTGTCCTATTGCTCACCCAGCATGAGTCGTGTTTCTTTTTGTACCGTCTGTGCAAGCAGGTCCTGAGCCGCTTGACAGTGATTAAGGTTAAGTTGAAGACACTTCTTTTTTTATCTTGGCTGATTTCCCTAAGTTTAGCTTTTGCCTTTTCGAAAGCAGCACAATTTCTACTGCCAGAGACATGCTTGGTATTATTTGCCACCATTTTTTTCGCATAGGTGACACGCTGGCTCGTTCGTACAAGATGTGGCTTTGTGGTCATTGCTGACACACTTGAAGCATAAACTTGCTCAATCACTATGGCTTTGGCATTTCTTAGCGACATGACCGAAGTCATGATATTTATAGCACCTTGTTATAGATACTTTAGCTCTTATTCTGCATATAACCCATCCAATATTTGTACCACTTTCTCGAAGAGGACCGACAGCTCCGCAATGATGTCCCGCATTGGTTGGTTGATGGACCTTCGCTTTCCGTCTTCCAACATCAGGACGAGCCCCTTGATTTTTTCACCCATCAGACTCAATGCAGTGACCAGAGAAGATGGCTGGGGTTTGGTCGGTGAACGCACCAGTTTTGGGCACTTATCAAAAGGACTTG